AAGTCTGGGAGACAGTACTACAGTAGCACGAAGCTTCACTTTCATTTCCATCAATTAAATGAGGGTCAGGTGGGGTTGCAGAAAGAACAAGAGACTAAGGATCTTGGATTTGAGTTTAATTCTTAGAGATGTCACCATTACCTTGGTGAACTTGGGCATTTCATTTACTCTCTCTGGGCCTCAGTTTCCTCATCTGAAAATATAGGACAGTGATTTAATCAATTAATATCGTCCTTTTGAAAGCAATTTGATAATAATATCAATAAATATAAGAACTATTCTTAACTTTTGACCAGTAATTCTATTTTTCTAAGAAAATCATACAAAATTTGGAAGACAGCTACATAACAAAGAACTTTATCAGTATCTAAAAATAAGACAATCTGCCAGAGATTTAGCTCAGTGGTTCCACCGCCTGCCTCGCAAGCACAAGGACCCAAGTTCAATCACCGGTACCAAAAAATAAATAAATAAATAAATAAATAAATAAAATAAAAATAAGACAATCCAAATATTCAGCAATAGGAAAACACTTAAATAATTTAGACTATACTTACTGGGAGTACGATACAGTCATTAAAAATATCTGTTATGGCCAGGCATGGAGGCAAACACCTGTAATCTGCCCCTCTGGGAGGCTGAGGCAGAGGGATCACAGGCTCAAGTCCATTGTAATTCAGCAATTTAGGAAGACCCTGTCTCAAAATCTTTAAAAACTAACAAAGGGCTGGGGATGTAGTTCAGTACAAAAGCCCTGGATTTAACCCCCAGTACTGGAATAAAAAGTCAATGATGAAGATGACATAGTAGGGCCGGGGATTTAGCTCAGTGGTTTCGCTGCTTGCTATGCAAGCACAATGACCCAAGTTCGATCCCCGGTACCAAAAAAAAAAAAAAAATGACATAGTAATATCCTTTGTGAAGCAGGGAGAAAAATATATAAGATTGTTCACATACTGTGATTATCACTACATAAAGAGAAGCATACACAGGTATCCCAAAATACCAACAGTTAGTAAGAACAATGAGTTATTTGTTGTACCTTCAAGATTTTCTCTAGAATATTTGTATTATACTTAGAATGAAAGGGCCAGGGATTTAGCTCAGTGGTTCCGCTGCCTGCCTCACAAAGCACAAGGTCCTGAGTTCGATCCCCTGTGCCAAAAAAAAAAGAATGAAAAACCTTCTCAATTAAGAGATTCAATTAAGTAATTTCCAAGTTTGCTTTTCACCCTAATATTTTGTGGCTTTTTTCTGGAAGAAGAAGGAGAGGTCACATAAGAGTAAAATATTTGAAAAATTCCATTGGCAGGGGCTCCACTTGTTTAAATTATTTTAACAGCTCTCAAAACAGCACACGAGAACATTTGAAAACTCGCACTTGGAGAAATGAAGCAACACCCCCACCCCCATCTGTGTGCAGAAGGGGCACGAGTCTGGGAAGTCTGGCCACATGTCTTCTCAGGGCCTGCTCCAAATAACTTGTTTGTCTACTTATTGAACAAGTATTTGCCAAATGCCCATTACTCAACAGGAACTTTGTTGCTGAATGAGGACTACACAATTAGTTCTAAGTATTCCGAAGGAGAAAGACTTCGTTTTAGTTTGCTAGAGTTGTCACAAGAGAATAGCTGAGACTGGGTGGCTTAAGCCGCAAAAATGTATTTTCTCACGGTTCTGGAGGCTGGAAATCTAAGGTTGCCGGCAGGTGTGCTGGAGTGCAGGTGTGGGGGCCTCTGTCCATGGTTTGCAAATAGCTGCTGTCTTTGTTTGGGCTGATATTACAAAGCGCCACAGACAGTAGCTTATGAACAACAAAAAGGTATCTCACTGCTCTGGAGGTGGGATTTCTGAGCTCAGAGGGTCAGCAGCACTGGGTTTCTGCAAGGAGTCTCTTGCAGCCTGGACACAGCCCACTTCTTGCATTTTCACATGGGAGAGAAGAGAGTGCTCTGGGGTCCCTTGGTTAGGGCACTAATCCCACTAATCCGGGCTCCACCTTCACAACCCAATGGCCTCCCAAAGGCCCCTTTTCTAATACTATCACATTGAGGGTTAAGATTTCAACATGGTACTGCACAAAAGCAGACCTGCGGATCAAAGGCACAGAATAGAGGATTCAGAAACAACCCCGGGCACATCCAGCTATCTGATTTTTGACAAAGGAGCCAAAAACATTCACTGAAGGAAAGACAGCCTCTTTAGCAAATGGTGCTGGGAAAACTGGCTATCCCCATGGAGAAGATTGAATATAGACCCATATATCTCACCATGCACTAAACTAAAATCAAAATGGATCAGCAATCTAAATTTTAAAACAGAAATAATCTGCTGGAAGATAAAATAGGTAAAATACTTGAAGACATAGGCATAGACAAGGACTTTCTTAAACAGAACTCTGATTGCTCAAGAAGTAATGTTAAAAATCAACAAATGGGATTATATTAAACTAAAAAGCTTCTGCACAGCAAATGAAACAACCAAGAGTGAAAAAACAACCTACAGAATGGGGGAAATTTTGTGCCAGTTATTCCTTAGGCAGAGGACTATTATCTAAAATACATGAAGAACTCAAAAAAATTAGACACCCCACCCCATCATCTGAACATGGTGGCACATTCCTGTAATCCCAACACTTGGGAGGCTGAGGCAGGAGGATCACTGTGAGTTTGAGGCCACCCTGAACTACATAGTGAGATCCTGTATCAAAAAACCCCTAAAGGGCCGGGATTTAGCTCAGTGGCACTGCACCTGCCTCACAAGGCACAAAGTCCTGAGTTCGATCGCTGGCACGCCCTTGAAAAAAAGAACCCTAAAAAAATTAGACCCCTCCAAGTTAAAAGACCCAGTCAAAAAATGGGCAACTTAAATGAATACTTTTCAGAAGTACAAATGACCAATAAATACATTAAAAATGTTCAGCATCTCTGACCATTCAAGAAATACAAATGAAAGCAATATTAATATTCCATCTTAATCCATAAAGAATAGCTATCACCAAAACATCAAATAATAATGAATGGTGATAAGGTTGCCAGGAAAAAGAAAACTTTCTACATTGTTGGTGGAAATGTAGGTAGTACCGCCACTATGGAATTCAGTATGGAGACACCTCAAAAACTAAAAATAGCCTCAGCTATTCCCCTCCCAGGGACCTTCCTGAAAAAGTTAAAGACATCATATGACAGTGATACAGGTATACCCATGTTTATAGCAGCACAATTCATAATAGCTAAATCTTAGAAGTGGCCTATATGTCCATCAACAGATGAGTAGACAAAGAAAACGTGGTATTTTATACACAGTGGAGTACTACTGTGCCATAAAGAAGGATAAATGTGAGTCATTTGTAAGGAAATGGATGCACCTTAAGACCATAATGTTAAGTGCGATGAAACAGACACACAAGCTTAAATACAAGAAACCCAAAATATAAATAAAGAGCAAAACAAAATATAGACAATAGAAAATAGGGAGATAGATCTTTTGCAAGAAGAAAGAGTACCAAGAAATGCAGCGAGGGAAGATGAAGGGGGACAGAGTGGGAAGAAAGAATTAAGATGCGCTACGTGCATGTACCAGCCCCCCACGATGAGCGTACTCATTAGGTACTGCAGACATGTACTAACAAAAATAAAAAATTTTTTAAATATTTCAACATAAGGATTTTAGGAGGCACAAACATTAAGTTCGTGCCAGGGATTTAGCTCAGTGGTTCCGGCACCTGCCTCGAAAGTGCAAGGTCCCTAGTTTGATCCCTGGTATCAAAAAAAAAAAAAAACCAAACAAACATTAAGTTCGTATACCTTCTTACTGTATCCTCACATCATTGTTTCTCTGTGTTCACACATCCTGAGGGACTTTTCTGTGTGACCAAATCTCGTCTTCTTTTAAAGACATCAGTCAGACAGGAGAGGGTCCCGCCCCTTTTCTTTTGTACCAGGGATGGAACTCGGGACCTTGCACTTGCAAGGCAGGAGGCGGAACCACTGAGCTAAATCCCCAGCCCATGCCCCATTTTAAATTAATCACATCTTAATCACCCTGTCTCCAAATACAGTCATTCTGATGTGTTAGAAGTTAGGGCTTTAACATGTGCAGACAGTCTAGTCCATAATAAATTTCAAACCATAAACTATAGTTGGAGGAAGACTCTGAGCTCCATTAAAATACAGTGGGAACCATGTGAAAGGAATAAGTGATTACGACAAGAAATATCAGAAACAACTATAAATAGAGGTGTCATGTGGGCCCAATTTTAGTGTGAGAACCTCAAATCTCTATGCTGTCATCCTTGATCATCACAAAAATATTTTAGAGTCAGGTGCAGTGACGGCCACCTGTAGTCCCAGCTACTTGGGAGGCTGGAGCAGGAGGATTACCAGGGCCTAGGAGTTCAAGGACAGCCTAAACAGTACAGCAAGACCCAAAAACAATCTTTTAGGCATAAACTAGGCTTGGGTAAAAGCCAAAAAAGAATGTATTTGTTCCAGAGGAAGAAACATAAATAACATCCTCCTAGAGTTGAACTAGGATTGTGGATTCAAATACAGCAACTTGGATGTCAGGTGGAAATCTTGATTTGTGGAATAATATGCTCCTTGCTCCCATTCCTTAAGTCATAAGTCTTTTAATATTGGGCCGGGGATTTAGCTCAGTGGTTTTGCCACCTGCTGTGCAAGCGCAAGGACTTAAAAAAAAAAAAAAGTATTTTAATGTGGGTCTCAGGGGAAGAGTTAGAGTCTTGGTAACCCCCCACCTTCTATCCTTTCTTCCATTCAAAAGCCATTCTTTCTCCACCTACCTTCAGCTAAGCTTTCCTTTAGGCTAAATTTTAAACCTCAACTCCTTATCCATTTAAAATGCTCCTCTCCAGAAATACCCTAGATCCTCCAGGTAAAAGAGCAGGTGAAACAGAACCAGCGCAGTCAGCAGACCTTTTCTGTCGGCCCCTTCCTTCCCTTTCCAGTGCCTGGGAGTAACCTGTTTCCTCTCAACAGGGGTCGCCAGAGGCCACAGGGACCAACGCCAGGCTTCTGGGAGGTGGCTCCAAGAAGGCGGCCAAGAATGCGAGTGCAAAGGTCAGTCACTCCGAATCCACAACAATGGTGGACCCACGCATCTGCCGTGAGAGCTGACCGCAACAGGCCAGCACCAGCAGCACCCACGGCTGCTTTCTTTCCGAGTTTCAGACAAGAACTAGATTCCCTCAGGATCTGGAGGATTCACAACTAGATCTCAAACTGTCCCCGCCCCCTTTCCCTTTCCCCCGAAGACCAGGGCTGCCTTTTTCCTAGCCTTCTGAAAGCATCCTGGATCCTATTCTCAGTCTTATTTTACTCACAGGAAAAACTAAACGGGAGGCTAGATGGCTTGCCCAAGGTAAAGCAGCCCTAGAAAGATAACACCTAGGCCTCTCTTCATTCTTCGGTTTCCTCAGCGATATCCCAGTGCCCCCTCTAAACTTGCCACCAAATCCTTGCCCTGTAGAGTTCAGGAAAAACACCTCAGAAGTCCTAGTATTCACACAGCTGGCTGTCTCCGCTGCTCTCGGGTCGCCCTTTTCACATCCATTGCAGTACCAGAAGACCCAGAAGATGACAAGGCCCTGCCCCACTCCCTTCTTTCAAACATGCTAACATCTGGGTTGGGGATGTAGCTCAGTGGTACTGCGCCTGCCTGGCAAGCGCAAAGTCCGGAGTTTGATCCCCAGTTCCTGGGAAAACAAAACAAACAAACATACCAACAACCCCTGTTATCTAACCTGTTATTTCAGATTGGTTCCTGAGAGTCCCTAGAAGAAAACTTATGACAGTGCCCAGGCTGCCAAAGAAGCGATGTCCCTGTGATCACCCCAAGGTCAATGTGAAGAAAATCAGTAAGTTTCAAGAGAAAAGCCTTCCTTAGCCTGGGGTGTTCCACACCTGTAACCCCAGCACTTGGGAGGCTGAGGTACGAGGACAAAGAGTTTGAGGCCAGCCTGGGCTACAGAGCAAGACCTTGTATTTAAAAAAAAAAAAAATGACAAGCTACAGAGGAAGAGATAACTGTGACATACAACCTACAAAGGATTAGTATTAGGATTATATAAAGAATCCCTACAAGTCAGTAAGTGAGAAGGCAAGCGATACAACAGTCAAATAGACAAAACACTTGAATAGCCACTTAAAAAGCCAACTAGCTAATAAGCATTGGGAGGCTGAAGCAGGAGGATCGCTTCAAGTTTGAGGCCAGCCTGGGCTACACAGTGAGTTCAAAGGCCAACCTGAACTACATAGTGAGATCTTGTATCCTCCCAAAATTAAATAAATAAAAGACCAAAAAAGGAGACCAAAATGACATTGTCATTAAACAATCATCAAATTGACAAAAGATTTTAGGGGCCAGGGATTTATCTCAGTGGCACCACGCCTGCCTCACAAGCACAAGGTCCTGAGTTCGATCCTCAGTACCAGGAAAAAAAAATTTTAAGTCTGACAATACCAAGCATTGCCAAGGAATAGAGAAACTCTCATATGCTGTCAATGGAAGTGTAAATGGTAAATCACATTGCAAAAGTGTTGGCAGTTACTTAGTAAAGTTTAAGCTATGTGTACCATATGACCAAGCAATTACACTATTATGTATATACTCAAAAGGAATGCTTATCCACACCAGGAGACATATGCAACAACTTCATAACAGCATTGCTCATAACTGCCCTAAAACTGACCAAAAGACACAAGAGAAGAGCTGTAGTATGATTTCATGCACTGTCTTAGTTAATTTAGGATGCTGTAACAAAGTATCAGCGATGGAGTAGTTATAAACAATGGAAATGTATTTCTCATAGTTCTGGATGTTGGAAAGTCCATGGTCAAGTTACCGGTAGATTCAGGGCCCACTTCCTGGTTTACAGATGATGCTACTTGTGCCCGCACATGACAGAAGGGAGGACCTAGCTCCTTCTGTTCCCCTCTAAAGGTGCTACCCACTGACCCCATTCCTGAGAGTTCTACCTCCACACCTATGTTTTCCTGATTTTCTATAGATGGATAGTATTTTGCAATAATAAAAGATTTGTTCAAGGTGCTGGCCAAAGCAATACAAGTATAATCTCTTTTTATGTTATTTATTTATTTTTTGTTTCATTTTGTTGGACTTTGGAGACAAGGTCTTGCTATGTGTTACAGGCTGACCTCAAACTCACCATGTAGCCCAGGGTGGCCTTGAACCTTCAATCTTCCTGCCTCAGTCTCCCAGAGTGCTGGGATTACAGGCGTGTGCCACCATGCTAGGCTTGTCTTGTTTTTTTAAAGTAAACTATTATGTTTATATACAAAAAGATTTGTAAGAATGTGTAACAGTATTGACAGGGGGTTGGTAGAAAAGCTTTTACTTTTTATTGTATGTTTTTAATTTTAGTTTTTTCTACTAGACAAATCTTACTATTATAATTTTAAAGCTCTTGTCAACATTAAATTTTTAAAGTTTTTTAACACTAGCTTCCCCTTTATTTGTACCTTAGGACACCGCAGGCACCACAAGAAGCCAAACAAGCACTTGCAAGCCTGCCAAGAATTTCTCAAACGATGTCAACTAGCGAGCTTAGCTCTGCCTTTGTAGGGGCTCTGAACAGAAACCTTCAAAAACTCAAACCTGTCCAAAAGGCAGCAAGCACTCCTAGAGCACACCCTTCCTCTCTCCACTCCCTGTCGCACTCCCTAGGTCAATCCTGTGCCCTAAAGGCACTTTTCCCAACATCACCTTGATTATTGCTCCTTCTACTGTTTTCTTCTGTCTTTTCCTGTGCCCTCCTCTTACCTTGCTTTAAGCTTTAATTACCCAGTTACCTGAAAGAGACTAGAAAACCCATCCTCCTAGCTGGTCTGACTTGACCTTAAATAATCAAGAAAAGTAACAAACAGAAGTCAATAAAAGTTTCTAAACATAATAGGGTCAAATTCATTTCTTTTAAATGGTGCCTAACAATTCACATTCAATCCACATGATCCACTTTGCCCTGCTCACTCCAAATCCAACCCAGAGTCTAGATATATTTCTCCCAAGACCTTTACTCTTTCTCCACTGCCCAACTTCTTACTCTTTTTTTTTTTCTGGGTCGGGGTAGGGTGGGGGGTTACGGAGGACTGAAACCCAGGGAGTGCTGAGCTACATCCCGAGCCCTTTTTGTTTTCTTTTGAGACAAGAGTCTACTAAATTGCTCTGGCTATCTGCCTTGCCTCAGCCTCCTGAATAGCTAGGATTACAGCCACATGCCCATTCCCACCTTTTTTATTTTCATTCAACAAACCTTTCTGAGGCAAGAGCTAGGTGGGGCAAAGAAAGCAGGCATAGCAATGAATCAGATATTGTCTTATGAAAAATTATATAATTAAAAAACTGTCACAGTTTCCTAGCATGTAGGCAGCCTTCAGTATTTATGATTGCTATCTCTATCATTATCATCATTAGTAATTGTAGTCTGTAGGTTCCCAAACTAGTACAGAAGATATTGAAGAATCTCAAATGTCTTTAAAGGCTTCCAGCCATAAAAACAGGAGGACATCGCCTTTTTTTTTTTTTTTTTTAGCACCAGTGTGAAGTGATCAGTGACAATACAAAGAGATTAAATTGGCAACCAGTTGTAGTAATGAGTAAAGAGGGAAAAAATATTACAAGTATAGAGACTCTGTCCCTCTCTAACCCTTTTCCCAAACATCAGAAGGGGTGAGGAGAAAAAAAAAGGAGCACTCATTCAGAACGGGCTTCTGTCTTCCCAAATGAAACAGAAGACCAAATTGGGATGGTTTCCTAAGGGACAGGAGCATTTTAACTGACTGGTGAGAAGGGTGGGGCCCTCTTTATGACACAAGAGGCCAAGCCCATCCCTTCTGGTGACAGCACAGGGCGCACAGCCTCCTCCTAGTCCTAGGCCCTCTTCCCAAAGTGGAAGTCACAGAGGGCATCTGTTGGCACAGGGGTGGAGGGCAACCATCAGCCACCTGTCTTAAAAAGGAAGACCAGGGGTGCCAGGATGGAGGACAGGACTGCAAAGGGAGGCGACATTACAAGACTGTGAAGAGGGCGGCCCAGGGGAATTCAGAAGGATGAAGCCTGTGGCATCAGCATTTGCCCTGAGGGAAATGACGCCCATGGAGCCAGGCTCTAAGTCAGTGTCCAGGCCAGGACGGGAAGCTGAGCTAGACCAGAGACCTCTAACCGAGCCCCAGTCTGGGCCAGAAAAAAGACCCACAGCCCAACCAGAATGGAAAACTCAGCAGCAATCCAGTACCCAGCAGGAGTTTGCATCACAGCAAAGACCTCTCACCCAGCAGAAGCCTTTCATCCAACATGAAATGGAATCCCAGCAGGAACCTAGAACCTAACAAAAATCTGCATTGCACCAGAAATGTCTTGCCCCAAAGCAATCACCCCCGACCCACAGGGTGTACTTCAGTCAACAGGAAGCTGCCTCACTGCAGGGACCTGGTCCAGAAAAAGTGCCTACAACTCAACAGGAACCAGAACTGTGACAGAGAGATGTAGCCCAGCCAGGACCTGGGTCAACAGAGCTATCTCTTGCTCAAAAAGCTGAATTAGCACCGATAGCCCAGGAAATATCTGGACCCAGAAATGGGCGACCTGCCCAGATGGAGTCTACATCCCAAAAGAGACCTGAACAGTCAGCCCCCAAGACCCAGCAAACACCTCCAGTCCAGCAAGCCAAGTCCAAGGGAGGATCTTTGACAGTGTGGGGATTTCTAACAAGACTTCACGAACTATCTGTACAGCGATCAGCCCATGAGTGGAAGGCATTTTTTGAATGGATCACAGATTCAGACTCAGAATCAGATGTTACGCCATCTTCAGAGAAAGATCCTCCAGCCATGAGATGTGGAACAGTGACTCCAGGAGTGAAGCCAGCCTCCCAAAGGAAACCTGGTTCTGAAAAAATGCCAGGATGTGGTGGAAGGTTACTATGTAGGAAGACTGTTGCCCAGGATCGCAGGTGCTACCCAGACAAAGGTGAGTCCGACCCTGGAGGAAATGCACCCTCCCGGGGACAGTAATGCACTCATTCAAGAAATACTAAGAACTTTTTATACAACAGGTTAGCTCAGGTTATCCTTCAAAAACCCTGTGAGATAAATATCAACATCTCCAGTTTTTGTATAACAATCAACATTCCCATTTTAAAGAAAAAGAAGGATCTTGCACAAAGCCATCCATTAGGAAGTGTCAAGCTCAGGATTTAAGCCTGGGTCTTTCTCCCCTACCCAGGGCTGCCTTTCTACAAAGGATTTGGGTAACATCAAATAGAAATAGGAAAGAGCTCTGGGCAAGGGACTAGGAAACCAGGACTGCTGCCCTCCTCCCACTTTTCATTCATCCACACACAAAATCTGACCAAGTACGAGCTCAAGGGTGACACAGCAGCACAGTGCTGAGTGTGGGTGGACCTTACCCTTCCGAGTTTCCTCGCAGACAAGGCTGAACATCTGGGGAATTCAGGATCTCTGAGTCGACCAGGTCTGATCTCTGCTTCTGGGAAGACACTTGCTCCCCAGCCAGCTGCCTCCACAGGGAGTCTCAGTTGAGCCAGGCAGAATGGACTTGGTGTCTGGGTTTTCCGGAAGGAGGACCCTGGTAGAGGGGGTGTACAAAGGCAAGGATGGGTGGGAGCAGTGTCAGAGAGTGATGAGCCCGAGGCTCTGGCACCTCCTGGGGCTCTTCTGAAGCAGGCATTGTGACCCTGGGGTTGCAGGCTCCAGCTCTGTGGCACTCAGGCCCTAATCTTCCTTTTCTAGGCTCAAAACCCTTGCAGTGGAGAAGAGAAAATACAAGTTTATTGATGAAATTAGGAATTACCTATTGAGTAGCCTGAAAGGGGGAAACAACAAAGCCCCAATTCTGAAGCAAAGGGCACCTATTAGGCCATAGTCTGGAGGGTAAGCAAATCTTTTCTCTCTGCCCAGAGGCCTGTCCGGCCCTGGGAAGGCTGGGCCAACCCTCAAAGAGCTGAAGTGACCAGAGGTGTTAATGTCTCAGTGCCAGTGCTGGTTGTATGCTTTGGCAAGAAAAGGAGGAGAGTTCGAGCCTGCTTTCGGGATGCAGAGTAAAGAGTTGTTTCTCTAGTATTCCAGATCCCAGTCTCAAGGGACACCTGCACCAAGCAGCAGCAGCTAATGAGGCTGCTTCTCAGGCCTACTACTTCCTGCCTTTTCCCAGCCACATCCACTCCATCTACTTCCACTCCTCCCCACTTGCCAGCCCATAGCCCGAAGCTAGTGAGCAAGCTCAGGCATTCCCTTCTGGCTTCTCTCATTCTGTTAGGGGGAAGAGAGCAGAGAGAGAAAAACAAACCCAGGAGAGCTGAGTTTAGTGGCTCACGCCTGTAATTCCAGCTACTCAGGAGGCTGAGACAGAAGGATTAAGAGTTCTATGACAGTCTTAGCTACATAGCAAGTCCTTGTCTCAACAAAAGAAAAAGCATAGGGATATACCTCGGTGGTAGAGAGCCCATGGGTTTGATGCCCAATCCCACCAAAATTAAAAAAAAAAAAGATCTGAGCAATGGAAGAACTAGAATGGGGAGGGGGAGGGGCGGGGTTTCTTTCCCCAAGGCCCCCAGGCACAGCCACGCCTCCAGTGCTGGTCCCGCCCCTCCTCCCAGTGGTCGAGCTGGGCTGCTTTCTAGGGGATCCCTCTGTGGGAAGGTGAGTGGGATAGCGAGGCTAAACACTGGCACAGAGAAGAACGAGGCTTCCGGTTGAAATGATGTCCACGGGGCTCCCCACAAGTCCTGTCCGAACGACGCTTTTTGCTGCCTACAGGGCTGAATCTTTGTTAGCCCGGGGCTCTTTAATGCGTGCGAGGGGGCGAAGCCAGGCCTTGGGTCCTAGCGGCCAGGGGCGGGGCCCGGCTCCGGAGCTGGGCCAGGATTGCTCAGGGGGCGGGACCCAGAGAGGAGCACGCCCGGCATTGGATGGTTTGGAGGCCCGGCGGTGGTGTGGAGTAAGGATTGGCCCTGGCGGCAGGAATTGGGTCTTGCGCTGGGACCGCGGAGAATTGATGGAGTCGACCGGGGAATCAGGACCCGCTGGGGCCCGGGCCTCAAAGAATGAGAAAGAAGGGTTGAAGAGCCGCAGTCGTCGGCGGTGGCGAAAAGCCAAAGCCAAAGGTGAGCTCACGGGCTCGCTGTAGCCCGGAAGGAACCGTGCACCTCTCGTGCGGCACTCAACGTCGAGTGGAATGACCCACTGCCATGAGAAGGGGGATGCCCGTGGACTAGCCCATTGCCGCCCTGCGTGGGGGGAGCGTGGACGATCTTTTGTGGGAAGGGAGTGATGGGGGAGCAGAATGTCCCACTGGGGCATAGAAACTACCGGACGTCTTAGGAGCAGCCTGGAATAGGAGTCTTTGTTCAAGGTTGACGCTCTGGTTCCGTATTCGCTGTGAGACCTAGGGCAACAGCTCCGCGTTCCCTACCTGGGAAATGGTTTAAGCAACGATTTTCAAATGGGGAAGGGTTTGGCAGCTGTTACCCAAAGAGGATGTTTAGGGTTGAGTCAGGGCCTGGTAGTCGGGAATGCAGCTTATCACCGCGTGGTCCTCCAGCGCTTAGTCAGCCTATCCATCCATTCATTGTCATTCCACCTGCACCAGACCGGCTCCACTGGGGCCTAGCTGGTGACGACAAGGGCTCCACGTTGGCTTTGAACTTTCTTACCCTCCTTAAAGAGAAGGCAGGGCCTTCACCTGGGTTTCCTAGATCTCAGAGGGAGAGACACTGACAAACCAACAGAGATAATGCAAACCCCAGGCAGAAGCAGGCATTAAGTCCTGGTTCAGTGATGAGTCTGCCAATCTCAGTGAGGACCTATGGGAAGTTCCTGTGCAGGAAGGAAACTGACGTGCCCTTCCCCCAGCCTCAAGGACCCCAAACTTATCTTTCTACCTGGCTGCATCATTCATGAAGGTTAGAACGAAAATTGGCTCCAGAGCAACCCACAGCTGAAACAGGCTGGGAGTTCAGACTGGAGACAGAGGGCATCTGCCATCACAGAAGACACTGACAAGCAGGACAGCATCCCTAGAGGCAGCACAGACTGAGATGAAGAGCCTGGGCATTCGAGACCCAATTCCTTAGGCTAAGAGGTGTGGCATAGTGGTCAACAGGCTCCTTCCTTGCCTGCCTCAACTTTCTGAGCTCTAAAATGGGCGAAATGATAGTAGTACCAGACTGCTTTGAGGTTCAATAAGTATAGTGTGTGACACACAGCAAGCCCTCAGGGGAATTGGAAATGACTATTATTGTTAGTCCCCACTAAACAGTACCTCCCTAAGAGTGGGGCTGTGTCTACCTTGTTTACTCTATAATGTCAGAGCTTATAATGTCAGACATAAAGGCACTCAAATATTTATTGGATTAATAATCAGAGGAATGTGTGGACTGTAATATAGAGATATTCATACTCATGCTTCCCTTAGGGCTGTCTGAGGAGTCTGAAAGAATCTGCTTGGGTAGGGTTCCCTGTGTCTTCCTCTTCACAGACTCAGACCCACCTACTCACAAAGGCTCATTCCCCTAAGCTATGAGATTTGCCTATTATTTCTTTTTTTTTTTTTGGTACTGGGGAACGAACTCAGGACCTTGGGCTTGAGAGGCAGGCGCCGGAACCACTGAGCTAAATCCCTGGCCCTGCCTATTATTTCTTGAGCCCCTTTCTGGTGCCAGGCTTCAGACACATGAATCAGACTCCACCCCATTCCCCAAGGGCATCCAGGCTGGCTGGAGCAGTCCTTAGTATCAGTTTGATCTTGCCAGTAACTGGCTGAGAACAGTGTCATTATGATCATCCCTTTTCCCAGACCACCACACTGAAGTCCTGAGCCACCAAGCTTTCTGATCTGGCCACTCAAGGCGGAGAGCTGGCCACCTCCAGCCTCCTCCAGGCAAGGCATATGTGAGCTGGCAGTTCTTGTGGCTACCAGCCTTGATTCCAAGCCCACAAGGTTCTGGTCACACAGTCATTCAGCAGACATTCACTGAATGCCTAATGGTGTCAGGTCTAGGCTGTCAGTGAGAAGCAAGACAGACTCACAGTGGAGATGGGGACATAGATGTTAATCAGATACCACTATTGTCATAAAGCGTGACAGGTTCGACTGAGGAAAAATCCTGAGAAAATGAAAGAGGGAGGCTTCCCAAGGAAGTGACACTGGGCCCAAGGATGGGCAAGTGTTAACTGTGGAGCAAGAGGGCAGGGAGAACAGAGAGGACAGCATGAGCAAAGACCTTGAGCTGGAGAAAGCAGCACGTGACAGTGCAGGGGAGCTCAGAGAGGGAGGGAGGATGGTAACAGGAAGCTGGGGTAGCAGAGTAAGGGAGGAGGGTGTTACCTGGTTCAGGAGGCCATGTCCAGAATTTGGTGCTTTATCCTGAGAGCCAGGAAGGAGCCATTGAAGGGTTAGGAGTGTGTGGTCCCATTTATGTTTTAGAAAGACCCCCTGTATGCTATATATAGGACAGATTGAAATCCCACACACACACCCACACCAGAATACATCCAATCATGTATATATATTGATACATATACATATACATGTCCACACAAGCTCACAAGCCAAGAAAAATGGAGAGACACAGGCTAAGAAATATACATAGGCCATGACACTTGCATTCAAACACCTTCGACACACAAGGAACATGGAAGTATTCAGACTGAGAAAATGTCAACACACCCACAAACAGGCAGGACACATACCTACAAGTGTACATGCTTGCATGTGAACACTCTCACACCTTACTACCAAGAAAGCACACAGCAGAGGCTCAGAAAGAAGGAGCAACGAAGACACAGAAACCCGTTCAGAGGCCAGTAGCGCTGTCCTGGAGCTGCCCCTTCCTGGCTCTGTGACCCTGGGTAGTCCTGTCACCTCTGCACCTCAGTTTTCTCATCTGCCAAAAGAGGATGATAATGGTCCCCACTTCCTGGGTCATGAGAGGATGACACAAGTTACTCCATTGTGACACACATGAAAAGAACAGTGCTGGCACACATTTGCTCTTTCACGTGGACTCTGAGGGAGGGACTCACTCGCCCCCACCTGCATCTGATCCCAGCATCTCACACCTACACACTTCAGAAGCCCTGGCTCCCTCCCGGGGTCTAGACCTGGCCCATTGCCATCGTGCCCCTACATCCTTCCCTCACTGCCCTTCTCACCCCTGCTGCACCCCCAGGAGCCAAAGACCAGGCAGGATCCAGTTATCCAGCAGCTTTTTAGGTCAAAGTGCTGGTGTCCAGTCAGCAGAACAACCCCTACCAGGCCCCTGGTCCCTACCTCTGCATGTTCACCCATGGCCCTAGTGCCCTCTGCCTGGCATTCTTATCAAGTTTCTGGCAACCTCAGTGTCCCTTCCTCTTGTTTCCAGCTAGCCAGGCCTTCAGGGAGCTGCCTGGAGCAGGGCACAGGGCAGAGCCTTGCAGTCACCAGGGTTTGGGGTCCAGCCACCTCCCCATTGCTTTCTGCATGTTACTTGTTCAGTTAGAGGCTTCCTCTTATCTTTCACAAAAACTCCTATTCCACAGAGGAAGTGAATGAGACAATTTAGAAAGGGGAAACAGCAGTGTGAGGAAATATTTAGCAAGTGCACCCAGCACTGTACAGGGACTGAATAAAACAAAGAAGATCCTACCTTCAGAGACCTAGAATCTAGTAAAGGAAACAGAGCAAACAACGTAAAAAGGAAGTTGTATAATATGTTCGATAATGACAAATGCCACAGAAAAATGACCCAACCCACCATCTCCATGTAGCTGACCAAGCTCACCAAACACAAAATGCAGAAAGTGCCTCCCTGGGATACAACTATAGCTCATGGTACAGCACTTGCCTAGCCTGTGTGAGGCCCTGGGTTCCATCCCCAGCACCACAAAAAGAAGAAAAAGAAGAAAGTAACACCCACAAGGGGCTGCTTATAAAGGATGTCCCTCACCCCAAGTGGGCAGAGTGGTCAAGTGGTTTCCAAATGTGGAAGCCAGATGCACCTGCAATTTCCTGACAAGTGGCTTGGGCTCCTGTCTCACTGTCACAGCCACCAATCCTAACAGCCTCCTGAACCCCCTGTCTGTCCATCTTTCCATGAGTTTGGCAGCACTGGGGAGGAACAGGCCTCCACTATCCCTAGTCATGCCGTCTTCATTCTTCAGATATTTTTCGCACACCACTATCCACTAAGGTGCATGATAATCCCTGGGGCCACCTCCTGCCCTCATGAGGATGACAGTCTAGGGCAGAGACAAAGAGGACTTAGCGACAGCCAGGCAAATAATGCAGAGCCTTCAGGGCCTTGCATTTGCACAGGCCCCTGCCTAATCTTGCGTTTGTAATTTTGTATTCTTCCTACAGAGCCAGACCCCCATGCTTTGTAAGCTTTATGACTATAAACCCTTGTTCTGGGCCAGGGATTTAGGTCAGTGGTTTCACCGCCTGCTGCGAAAGCGCAAGGACCCGAGTTTGATCCCCGGTACCAAAAAAAAAGAAACCTTGTTCTGTCCTGGTAGATAAACAACAAACAAATATAGAAGAGCTAAGCATTATGGGAGAAACTAATGGGAGTACTCATCTTAGATGGGGAGGAGCAGTCAGGGAGGACTTCAAGCTAGGCCTGAAGGATAAGAACAGGCCAGCCAGAAAAGGCACTTGTGTACTGAGTGAAGTGTCTCCTGCTCCTCCGTTTCCCCATATGCGAGGTGAGGGTGGCCAAGCAGGGTGGGCTGTGAAGGGTAAGTGGCAGATACAGGTTGCCCAGAGTGGGAACACTTTCTAGTAGGACCTATGGCTCAGGCTCCTAGCTGAGATTGGCACTGCCCTTAATCGGCTTTTGTCCTCCCTAGAGGGGCAAGCAGGCCTGGCCACTTTGTCTCTTCTCCCAACAACTGGGGCCGCCTGTGCCAGGACCAGCCTGGGGGTGGGGACAGAGATCACTGGGCCTTTGGCTCCTGGAACCCATTCTGAAGGAGGGAGGTGGCCTGGCTGGGTGAGAGGGGACTCCTGGGTCCCGAGGGAGAAGAAGGCTCGGACCCTGCATCCCTGCTTCTAAAGGAGAGGGGTTAGGGGCTGGACTCCTGGGGTCTATGGCAGAGGAGCCTGGGACAGGACTCCCAGTTGGTCTGGGGCTGGCAGGGATCAGAAGGAGCAGGGACTTGGACTCTGTGTTCTGTTTACAGCATGTGTTTCCACTGTCCTTTCTGGGAGGGAGGCAGAGAGGGTGGCCACACCCTGGGCAGACTGGCCCCTCCCCTCATTTATGGCCCCAAGCTGCTACTGGCACTAAGCACAGACCAGCAGTCCTAGCCGAGGGAGCACCAGCTCAGAAAAGGCCTGGGAGGGGTGAGTGCACAACCAGCTGAGAGACAGGAAAGGTTGCTGTCTGAGCCCAGGACCTGGAAGGGAAGTGAGACACCTTCTTCTGGGGGCACGGGGGATCAGGAGCAAGGTAGGCCCCCAAGCTTCAGGAAAGGAGAGTCCTGTGAGCATATGGTAGCATCCCCACCAAGGGGGCAAAGACAGCTTGTCAAGGCTATCCAAAAACCAGGGTGGCCTGAGTGCCTGGGGAGGACAGGGATCCTAGGGGGAATATAGCAGGACCTGAAGCATAGGGAGTCAGAAGTAATCCAGGCAAGTTTTGAGGACCAGAGCTAGAGACCCGGCCTCCAGAGTCTTGGGGTGAAGACCAGCATATGCAGCAGCCCTGCACCCAGAGATCTGGGTTTGATTCAGTGCTGCCACTCTCTGTGCACCCTCCAGCTCCTTGCTGAAGCACTCTGAGGCTGTTCCCTGTCCTATAAAGCAGGGATGCTAGCAGCCATAGAGATTTGAGCATAGACAGTCTGGATCTCAGAGCGCTCAGGCACTAAATGCACAAACCCACAGAAAGCTGGAGCACAGGATCTGGCACAGAGGAAACTCAAGGTCAGTGGTGGTGATAGATACTGATATTCCAGATGGGAGCAGGGCTGGCCATGCAATCTAACTGGACAGGCGCAAAGGCCAAGGAGCCTCGCTGAAGAAGTGATTCGGAGCTTTGAGGACTCCACAGGGGAACAGGAAAGAGCTGGAGTTTGGAGGGTTTTCCACTTCCAGGCTGGTGGACAGGAGTGAGTCATCAGTGAAGGCTAGAATTACAAACTCCTAGGTTTAGAAGGGCTGTGGGGCATGGGGAGCAGGGTCCTGGGAGATGGGAATGGGCGGACAGGTGCTAAATGCTCCCAAATATTGTTGGAGAGGAAGAGCCTATGGGCCTAAGAAGGAAAGGGGGGGGGGGGGGGGGGGGGGGGCTGGACTCCTGGGTCTTGAGGTAGGGACCAGCTGGGAGTCCAGACTTCTTGGAACCAAGGAGAAGGAGCCCTGGGTCCCAGGAAAATAAAGGGAGTCAGGTGCCTGAACTCCTGAATCCCTGGACGGAAGAGGGGAGAGGCGGACTCCTGGGTCATAGGGGAGATACAAATGCTAGAAAATCAGGTTTCTTTTTTTGTTTTCTTTTGGGGGGGGGCGGGTATTGAACCCAGGGCTTTCACACTGAGCTACATCCCAGCCTTTTATTTATTTATTTTGAGGGGGAATTTTTGTTTTGTTGTTGTTGTTGTTTTGTTTTGTTTTGCTTTGGTACTGGGGATCAACCTCAGGACCTTATGCTTGTGAGGCAGGCAGCAGAACCACTGAGCCCTTTGTTTTTGTTTTTTAAGATAGAGTCTCAGTGTGTAGCCCAGGGTGGACCTAAACTCATGGCCATCCTCCTACCTCAGCCTCCTGAGTGCTAGGATTGCAGGCCTACGCCACCACACCTGGGCTTATTTTTTATTTTGTGACAGGGTCTCTCACTAAGTTACCCGGGCTGGGTTTGATTTTGTAATCCTCCTGCCTCAGCCTTCTGGATTCCTGGGATTACAAACACACGCCACTACTCCCAGCTTAAGAAACTAGATTGTTGTGGGCATGTCTGGACTCCTGGGTCCAAGAGAGAGGGGATGGCCAAAGACAGCAGGTTTCTGAGTCACCAATAAGAGAAAGCAGGGACTCCTGAGTCCTGAAGAGGTGGAATCTAGGGCCTGGATTCCTAGGTCTGCGGGAAGAGGAGACAGAGGGCTGAAACCCAGCTTCTGAAAAGGAAGAAAGTTACTGGGGACTTGGACTCACTGGTGTTAAGGAAGGAGAGGGATGAGGCCCTAGAGTCCTGGAGATGAGGGGGAACCTTCTGAGTGTGAGGGAGGAGGGGGCTGGAGTCTTGGGCCTCCAAGTGTGAAGAGGCTGAGGGCCAGGGGTCGAATGCCGAGCCTGAGAGAGGAGACACAGGGCCTGGACTTGGCCCAGCCAAGCAAGGGGTGACCCCAGCCAGGGCTAACAGGCCTCCTCACCTGCCCACAGCCTCCCGGCTCATGCACACCATGGACCTCCGCACAATGACACAGACGTTGGTGACTCTAGCAGAAGACAACATGGCCTTCTTCTCGAGCCAGGGTCCTGGGGAGACAGCACGGCGGCTGACGAGTGTTTTTGCAGGTGTTCGAGAGCAGGCACTGGGGCTAGAGCCAGCCCTGGTCCGCCTGCTAGGTGTGGCGCATCTCTTTGACCTGGACCCAGAGACACCAGCCAATGGGTACCGCAGTCTGGTGCACACAGCCCGCTGCTGCCTGGCACACCTGCTCCATAAATCCCGCTACGTGGCCTCCAACCGCCACAGCATCTTCTTCCGCACCAGCCACAACCTGGCTGAACTGGAGGCCTACCTGGTTGCCCTCACCCAGCTCCGCGCTCTGACCTACTATGCCCAGCATCTGCTGGCCACCAACCGGCCAGGGGGGCTGTTCTTTGAGGGAGATGAGGGGCTCACCGCTGAGTTCCTGCGCGAGTATGTCACACTGCATAAAGGCTGCTTCTATGGCCGCTGCCTGGGCTTCCAGGTGAGCCCCCTGCTCCGGGTCCCTCTGGGCCCACGGTAAAGGCACTGGTTGCTCCTAACCTGGCCCGGTAGTAGAGCAGAGTAGCCACAGTGGTCAGTATTATTGGATTCAGGGAACAGAAAGGGGAAGTTGGCTGGAGCTCAGAGCTGGACTGGGAGCCTCAGATTCATAGCCTTGGACCATATCGACCACGTACGGAGAGCTAGCACAGCTTTTTTCCCCAGCATCCCCACTATTCTCTGTTGCCTGACACTCAGGAGAGTCATTTGATGTTACCCATCTGGCCCCAGAAGTCCCTTGAGTTTGAGACCCTTAAGAGGAGGGTCAGCATTGTTCAAGAGGCCTGTTCCGTACAGTGTGCCCCCGGAGTCACACCACTGGGGCTCTGGAGGGAGGGGGGGAGGGAGCCAGCCCACAGCTGCCAGACCCAGTCCTCTTTCAAGTGGTGGTGGAATCAGGATGTTCAGGCAGCCCTCAGGGGACCAACAAGCCCATCAGAGGAAGTGAGGAGGACCTGATGGTGCCCACGCTCCTCCCTGTAGGCCTTCCCCTACCCTCTGCTCGTCCCACAGCACCCTCAGAGAGACAGAGCTCATCAACACACAGAAAGCGAGGCAGCTGAAGGCTGTCAGACTTAGGTAAAAAGTGATCCGGGGATTTGGAAATTGGGGGAACTTGGGGCATCAGGCTCAGAGCAGAGACCCATCCTCTCCCTGTCTGGGGTCAGTGCCAGCTCCCCTACCACCACCACTAGTTGTACCTGGGAACCCCAATAGGACAGTCTGAGGCTGTGTGATCTTACAGTCCTTCCCACCCTCTCTGGGCCTTTCTCCACCTCAGTGATAGATAAGCTCAGCAGTCTCTCAGCCTCCCTAGCCGACCCTGCCACTCCAGGCTTCCCTGAGCATCAGCCTGACCTCCACAACTCAGCCTGGAAGTCTGGAAACTTCCCTCACTCAAGCTGAGTATGCAGACACTGTCAGCTCAGCAGAGCCAGCCAGGCCCTCCCCGTGTCCTGGGAGTGACATTGGAGTCACGAGAAAAAGATCCTGAACTGCCTAAACCAGTATCCCACCCACTATGGTCAGGCACCCCGGTGCTCTTTAGCCTGCTGGGCCCACAGCCAGGGGCAGGGCCAGAGCCAGCTGACAGCTTCTCTCTGAGGGCCCAGCCTCCCCATCTAAAATGTCAGCCCCTGGGAGGACAGATGCCTCCTCATCCCGGTCACTTCCCAGCCCTGCCTAGTGTGCAGCATGCTGCAGGGCCGTGGGCAGTGTTTGCAGAATGAACAGAAGAACCCTCCCTGCCCCTTGACTCAACCTCCTCCAGCTTTGCTTGCTCCGATCCTGCCGCCCCATTGTCTTCCTAACTTCTGGTCCACTCTCTGGGATGCTGTCTCCCCATTTCTCTATGGCAGCCATCTGTCCCTGTCTCTGAACCTCAGACAGTCTCCCATCTGGCTTTTTGCCTCAACATCCCAGTACCTATCAGGCTTTCTCTGGCCATCTCCCCACATCTGTCCTCCTGCCACCCTAAAACTGACCCCTACTGTGTCCCTTGCCCTTCTAGGAGATCCCTGCGTCATATTACCTCCCAGCTCACAGGCCTCCAGTGGCTCCCCTAACACTACAAGGAAAGGCAGGCTTCTTAACGTCAGCCCTACCTGACCCACGTCTCCCCCGCTTACTGATCCAGCCACGCTGGCCCTCTGGCCTCCCCTCACTGCCCGAGCCCAGTACGGCCTGGCCCAGAGCTTTGCACTCCCTGTGCCCTGTGCTGTGCGCGCCCTCCCCTCATTAGACCCCTCTGGCCCTATTCATCACTGCGGCCCCTCCACCTGCTGTCTCTGCCTAGATCATGTGTACTCCTTGATACTGTTGCATGTCTTCATTTATTTGCTTATCACTTCTCTTCCCTTTAAGAAAACCAGGTCTATGAAGGAGCCAGAGCTGTGCCCAGCACACACAGGAGCTCAGGAAATGCTTCCTGAATGAATATGTCTCACACACACACCTCTGCCCCTCACTACTGCCCTGTGCTGGGCAGGTGGGTGACTATCGTCTCTCCACAGTTCACGCCTGCCATCCGACCATTCCTGCAGACCATCTCCATTGGGCTGGTGTCCTTCGGGGAGCATTACAAGCGTAACGAGACAGGCCTCGGTGAGTGCTGGCTGGGCCCTGCCCACAGACTCCCTGCCGGTCCCTTCTCCCCAGCCCTGTGCAGCAGCCTGACCTGCTGGGGCTCCCTGATGCCCTTCCCGACCCCCAGGTGTGACCGCCAGCTCACTCTTCACCAGTGGCCGCTTTGCCATCGACCCAGAGCTTCGTGGGGCCGAATTTGAGCGGATCATACAGAACCTGGATGTGCACTTCTGGAAAGCCTTCTGGAATATCACAGAGATCGAAGTGTTGTCGGTGAGCACAGGGCCAGGCAAGGTCCTGAACTATTATAGATGGGGACACTACACGGAGGTCTGAGACCCATCTGAAGCCACAGCAGGTCCCTGCCAGGCCCCAGGCCTAGGGACAGTGCATGAGGGGAAAGACTAAGGGTGGGAGGGGAAGTGTGGGGCACCCTCGCAGGCAGCCTCTCCCCATCACCCCTTCCCTTCCCTCCCACCAGTCTCTGGCCAACATGGCGTCAGCCACTGTGAGGGTGAGCCGCCTACTCAGCCTGCCGCCTGAGGCCTTTGAGATGCCACTGACCTCTGACCCCAAGCTCACAGTCACCATCTCACCTCCTTTGGCCCACACAGGCCCTGGGCCTGTCCTTGTCAGGCTCATCTCCTATGAACTGCGTGAAGGTCAGGTAAGGCCCTGACGTCAGCCACAAGCTGAGGAGCAGGGAGCCCCCAGCCCGGCATGCCCCTCCTGCTGTATGCCACTGTCCTCTCGCCCTCCTTCCTCCTGCTGCTCACACACACAACCCCCAGGCCCTGTCCTGTCACTCTTGAGCACAACCCCTTGGAGGGATAAGGCCCAGGCAGGCCCAGCCAAGCCTCACCACCTCGTCCCTCCTCACCCCCAGGACAGTGAGGAACTCAGCAGCCTGGTGAAGTCCGAGGGCCCATGGAGCCTGGAGCTGCGGCCCCGGCCTCAGCAGGCACCCCGATCTCAGTCCCTCGTAGTGCACATCCATGGTGGCGGCTTTGTGGCCCAGACCTCCAAATCCCACGAGCCCTACCTCAAAACCTGGGCCCAGGAGCTGGGTGTTCCCATCATCTCCATCGACTACTCCCTGGCCCCCGAGGCGCCCTTCCCCCGAGCACTGGAGGAATGCTTCTTCGCCTACTGCTGGGCCATCAAGCACTGTGCCCTCCTTGGTGAGCCTCAAACCCCAGGTGCTGCTGCCGCAGCTCTTGCTCCCACCCCAGCCCGTCCTGCAGGGGCAGCGAAACCTCTAGGTCCTTAAGCCTTAGCCTCAAGGCCTCTGCCTGCCCCTTTCCCCCTCCTGCCTGGGCAGCTCTGCCACCTGCTCGCCCCACTCATGCCCATCTTCTACCTCAGCCCCTTCGTCACCGCCACCTGCTCCCTCACTCACCTGGTCTCCTCCTCCACCCCTGCCCCAGAGCTGTCCTCCTGCTGGCTCTTCTTGCCTCCCCCAGTTGCCCCAGTCCCTGAGCTGCCAGCTTCCTGGCCCTCTTCTGCAGTTCCTCAAAGCCCTTCTTAGAATAACAAAATATTAGGAAGACGCCGAGGCACAGAGCGGGGTTAGCCCTGCCCTGGCACACAGTGTAGCCCTGTGGCCCGGCCCTCTGTGCTATTGGTATGAACCTTGGCCTTTGGCTTCCCAGCCTCTGATGACTGTCCATCCAGAAACAACCCTGAGCTCCCTTTTCCTGCCACCTGCCTTTGCTGCTCCTCCAGCCTTCTGATGCCAGGGTCTCTCCATGTCCAAGTCTTCCCAATCCTCTCTTAGATCCTGATCCTTCGGTAGACCACTGTCTAGCCAAATAGGCCCAAATCCCTGTCTCAGTTTGCCAGTCTCTAAAATGACAGGCTGCTAGACCTTGGGGAAACCCACACCTGCCTCTGAGAGCTCTGTTCTAGCACAGAGCTTGAGATCCTCCTTGTCCTCCTTCCCCAGTTCCCTGACTGCATAGCCTGCCAGGCTATATCCAAGCCCTTGCCTTGCCTTCAAACTAGGTTCAACAGGAGAGCGGATATGCCTTGCTGGGGACAGTGCAGGTGGGAATCTCTGCTTCACCGTGTCCCTTCGAGCAGCAGCCTATGGGGTACGGGTGCCCGATGGCATCATGGCAGCGTACCCAGCCACAATGCTGCAGTCTGCTGCCTCTCCCTCCCGCCTTCTGAGCCTCATGGACCCGCTGCTGCCCCTCAGTGTGCTCTCCAAGTGTGTCAGCGCCTATGCAGGTGAGACCCACATCCTCCGAGCCAGGCTGGTGTGCTTAGAAGCCTGGGTCCTGCAGGGACAGGGACTGGGGCCCAGTCTTGGGCCTGCGGAAGGAAGAACAGAGCAGGGGAATCTGAGACCTCTTCCCTTTGAATGGATCAGATATTCTTGAGCCCCTGGGATCACAGTTGCCTGAAGTTCTGGGTTTTTCTCCACCTGGAAAGGAGACAAGTTCGGCCCCCCATACATTCTGCAGGTGCAGAGACAGAAGACCACTCGAACTCGGACCAGAAGGCACTGGGCATGATGGGGCTAGTGCGGCGGGACACATCCCTGCTCCTCAGAGACCTCCGCCTGGGCGCCTCCTCCTGGCTCAACTCCTTCCTGGAGCTGAGGGGGCACAAGTCCCAGAAGACACAGGTGCCTGTAGCAGGTGAGTGACCACCTCCCCTAACACACCCAGCCAGAGTGGTCAGGAAGGATGGCCTGGTACAACAGAAGTCCCAGGGGAGGAAAGGGTATGAGCCTCCAGGCCCACAGTAAAGCAGAAACTGCCTTCCTAGTTGGCTCTGCCCCCATAACCATCCCGGTTCTACTACAAAGCCTTGATTTTCTACAACACTTCACATCCTGGGAAGTGCAGGACTTCTGGTCCCCCGAGTCATCTCAGAATTCCAGGAATTGTTTTCTAAACAGCCTCACCCAGCCCACACCCTGAGAAATGACTCAGAAGATATATGCTATATGTCCTGATTTCCAGTCCCCAAATCTCCACCCGAGTCTCTCAGGTGAGAGTCCTGCCCTCCTCAATTCTTTCCAGACTTCTGACAGGGGTACACAGGCCTCAGACCCCCAGCAGCTGGCCTGGGAGCCAGGATGGGGAGATCAAGGGATCGTACAAACCCTGGAAAGTAGAGAGTCCCAGTCTTGAGTGGGTGCCAGGACCCTCAGGCAGCCAAAAATCACTTCCGTCTGGAGACCCCCTTTTCCCCACCATAACTTTTAAAGGATTTTAAAGCACAACCAATTCATTTTCTACCGCTAGTACATCCACGGTATTTTCTGAATAACAGGAATAGTACATTCAAAAGTAGATGCAGTTCCAGTTATTCAGAAAATTATTCCAATTGAATGGAATTTTAATTTTAGAATCTTCAAACAGATGCAAATATATACATCCAGAGAGAGTTAAAAGGAAATTGAATTTGAGGCACCTGGACCATTGCACATTGAAGCTTTCTTGTAGGATAGAGGTGACAAGGGCAGCCCCTGGAGGCACATACTCTGGACCATCCTGCTCCATGGTGACTTGCTGGTTCTTGGGTCATGTGGGCAAGTCACAATATCTGTGAGCTTTGGCTTGCTCCTCTGTGAAGTGGGTTCAACAAGAGTGCCTGCCTTGTTGTGTCATTGTGAAGACTACATGTCCCCATGGTGTCAAATGCCCAGCACAATGCCTGGCACACAGCAGGTACTCTTGGAAGATGTTGGTCCCCAATGCCCTATGTCAACAATTCCATTCCGATAAGTCTCTGGCTCACAGCACTTAATGCAGTGTTTCTCATATTCTCTTGCATTTTGGCCTCATGGATTGATAAAGACAAGTATAAAAACTGAAATGTAGCGTCCATGCCCTAGGGGTAAGCAGTATGACAAAGTTAATAGAGCTGGGGCCAAGGTGGACACACTGGGTGAGCCAAAAAGTTACCTTTAGTATCACTTGGGCATGTGTTTGCCTGATCATGCAAAAGAGAAGAGATAAAACTGAAAAACATGAAAGAAACTTTTGGGAACAGATCCATGGGGCTACAGGTATAGAATCCCTGGGAAACTAATATGCCCTGGAGACTCTTGTTAGCTCCCTGTGAACAGAACCTTTTCTCAAGCCATGTGGGCCCACTCACTATTTTGGACATTTGGATGCATTCACACCCTTTATATCAAGTGGCCATAAAAAGCTTGGCGGACTTCCTGCTGGGGCTGGAGGCGCTGGAACAGAGCAAGCCTGGCAGTAAAACCTTAATACTGATACACTGTGACCTCCACAGGGCGTCAGTGCTGTACTTAATCCCATATATCCCACTGAGTTTTTACATTCTAACTTCCTTTGAGTGAGGCTGTTTCTATCTCCTTTGTACAAAGGAAGAAATGGAGGTTCCCAGAAGTACACTGACTTGCCCTTCCCTGTCACACACACACAGCCTGTGCTAGAAAGCAGTCCCGCTTCCAAGACCACCATGGGACTCCCTGTTGAAATGGTCGCCTGGGACACTCCTTACCCGTCCCCAGGGCAGTCTGGGGAAATGTCCTAGGCCTGCACAACTGCAGATGGGTACAGCACCTCCTCCACAAGCCGCTGACCTTCCTTATCTGCCACCTGCACACCCAGCTAACACACCCAGGCTGGTCTGTGGCCCTATCCGGCCCCTGACTCTGCCCCTGCCTCTCCCACAGAGACAATGCGCCGAAGTGTGTCGGACGCTGCCCTGGCCCAACCAGAGAGCCCACTGGGGACAGATTCCCTCAAGGCGCTGACAGACTTGAGCCTGAAGAGCAGCTCCGAGTCGTCAGACACCCCCAAGATGTCCGAGATGTCACAGTCCCTGGAGACACTTGGCCCCTCCACACCGTCTGATGTCAACTTCTTTCTGCGGTCTGAGGACGCACAAGAAGAGGCTGGGGCCAAAGAAGGGGCGAGCACCAAGGACAGAGGCCTTGGCAGCAGAGCCACCTTCCCCGAGGGTTTCCACCCTCGGCGCTCCAGCCAGGGTGTCATCCACATGCCCCTGTACTCGGTGCCCATCGTCAAGAACCCCTTCATGTCGCCTCTGCTGGCCCCTGACCACATGCTCAAGACCCTGCCGCCTGTGCACATCGTAGTGAGTGTGGTACTGGGAACATCGCAGTTAGACCAGGGCGGGTGGAGCGCTGTGCAGGGGGCTGGGAGGAGCCGGAGTGGAGAGTCAAAGGCAGGGGCTTCAAGAGTGTAAGAAAGGAGGCTCTCTGGGTGGGGGGAGGCTGGGCAAAGGGCAGGGAACTGAGTTAAACGCATCTCTCCCCCTTTTTCCACCTCCGCCTCTTCCTCCATTCACTCCTAACCCCGCCCCCCACATCCACCACCGTCGGTGCCCCCCACCTGTGCGTCCCGCAGGCGTGTGCGCTGGACCCCATGCTGGACGACTCGGTCATGTTCGCTCGGCGACTGCGCGAGGTGGGCCAGCCGGTGACGCTGCACGTGGTGGAGGACCTCCCACACGGCTTCCTGAGCCTGGCTTCGCTGTGCCGAGAGACTCAACAGGCCGCCCAGCTGTGCGTGGAGCGCATCCGCCTCATCCTCACTCCGCCCGCTGCGCCCCAGCCCTGAGCTGAGCCGGGACTGGGGTGGGCCTCGCCGGGAGATGGGGCCTCTGGGGACGACACTAAAGACCTTGTTCCCATCTGTGAGGCCTCAGTGGTTAAATGGGTCGGTGCCTCGCCTCCGTCTGGCCCTGGCGGGAGGGCGGGCTGTGCCTTAAATTAGGGGACCGTGAGGGGGTGGGGCAGGGGCCCAGAGCTAGACCCCTGCCCGGGGGAGGAGGATGCACACACCTGTCACCGGACCTGCATTCCACCACTGCCTTTTACTGCTGCTGCGACGGACCAACTAGTGCAAATCTGTTTGTTTTTTTGTAAATAAAAGTATTTAATTAGTTTGGCCTCTCTCAGATAGAGTGAGGGTGTGTAAAACAGCCCAGCAGGGGGCAGCATCGGACTCTGCTGCGGGTAACTAGGAAACCTGGCCTATGAGCACCTGAATGGGAGAGAAGGGCTTCCCACAGAGACCTACCTCCTCCTAAAACCCAATCCAGGTTGACAGCAGGGCTCCAGCTCCTGCCCCTTCCGTACGTCTCAGCTGGATCCCTCTCCCTGGTTCGGATGGAAGGCTACTCCCCTCTACAAATCCAACGTTGGGGCCCACCAAGGTAAACAGTCTCCAATAGCTCACTCCCAACCGAACTGGAGCAAAGTTAGCAGAAAACCAGAAGCAAAATACTAGAAGTATAAGCTCTGCCAGGCTGTAACAGCCCTTCGACTCTGTAGGTCTTACCCCTTGTAGGCCCTCCATTTGGAGTAGACGATTTGTAACCAGGGCCTGGCCTCGGGGTGAGTAAACTTGCTAGGCAGAGAAAACATGTCAGGCTATGAAGAGCTAGTAGGCAGTCATTGAGGCCTCCATCTGGCCGGACCAAAATGGACAATGGCCTGAGGGCCCTCAAGGGTCTGGCAGATCATGAAGGGCCTGGAATACAATTTGAACTATAACTGGAGTCAGTGGGGAGCCCCAAAAGTGCTTAGAGCAAGAAAGGGCCAGGATCAGTTCTGGGCACTGAAAGAGCCTGCTTGGGTACTAGAGGACGAACAGAGAAGGGAAAGAGTGCACCCTGGAGGCCAAGCAGGGGACTGGGGACAAGACCAGGCAAGGTCTGAGGCCAAGCAGTGCTAACTCAGGTAGGAGTGCAGGTGGGGCTCGCAGAGAAGAGCAGGGGACAGGATGACACATGGGTCTGGCCAGGGGAACTACTGGCCAGTGAGGCTGTCTCTCTGTTGAGTGGAGAGGGTTGTGTGTGTGTAGGAGACAGAGCCAATTTTGACATGAGATAAAAGGTTTCCTAGGGATATCCAGGGAGCAGCAGAGGGTGGAGTGGGCACTCATTCACTTCTGCCTAGGGCCAAGAGACTGGAACCTTCCTAGGAAGAATGAGCAGGTAGGACTAGAGGAAGATCAGGACAGAGAACCCTGAGCCGCATGGGCCCCAGGAATAGGGTATGCATTGGGGAGGGAGTGCTGGAGGGTTCTGGGGAGCAGATGTAGAGGGAAGACGCCATCTGAGCCAGGGAAGAAGGGAGTTTCAGGCTAGAGGGAGTACTCTGTGACAAAGGAGGACTGAAATGTTATCCTTCGGCCTCAGCAATGAGCAGGTGATCTCAGAGACTTTATCCAGAGCCCTTGCAGGGGCCTAGGAGGGGACAGCTAGATGTGGTGGGCTGGAGAGGGAGTAGAAAGTAAGACATATTGCAGGGTGTGGTGATGCACACCTGTAATCTCAGCACTTGAGAGGCTGAGGCAAAAGGGTCACAGCAAATTCAAGGCCAGCCTGGGCTACATTTTGAGTTCAAGGCCAGCCCAAACTACATAGAGAGACCCTGTCTCAAAAAACAAAAACAAAGTAAAAGATAGAGCCAGTGGGAATCAAAGACTTTAGCAGTAAAAAGGATAACAGATCATTTGCAGGAGCTTGATGGGAGGTATATGCATGTTTCAGAATGATGACACATGTTTTAATGCTGCCAGGAAGGGAGAGATGGAAGCACAAGAAAGCAGTTTCTTGGGGGTATGCAAAGGAAGCAGGGGATCCTCACTTCAGAGACCCTCATCCAGCCAAGAAGTGACTTCTTTTGTTTGTTTATTTTTGGTGGGGTTTTTTGTGTTTTTTTGTTTTTGTTTTTGTACTGGGGATTGAACTTGGGACCTTGTGCTTGCGAGGCAGATGGCGACAACACTGAGCTAATTCCCCTGCCCTCTTTCATTGTTTTTGAGACAGGATCTCACTATGTAGTTTGGGGTGGACTTGAGCTCACTATGTAGCCCCAGCTGGCCTCATATTTTTGGTGATCCTACTGCTTCAGCCTCCCAAGTGCTGAGATTACAGGTGTACACCACCACACCCAGTTTCCAACAAGTGAATTCTGAGTCAAGGCCTGTGATGGGAGGGAGCCATAGCTCAGAATTTCCCCAAGGGTACAGATCCACACACAGCTCCCTGACTAGCTCCTAGGACCCCTAGCTCTTCTCTGTCAAAACAGCCATCACTATCAGTGTGCTCCCCTTCCCTGTCCCCATCTCACCCTGAGATGAGCAAAAGCTCTAGGTCTCATCCTGGACACCCCCTCATCCCATAGGCCATCCACTCTGCCTCCTGAATCTGCCTTCAGCCTCTGCCCTCCATCCAGAGCCACTTCAGAGCCACTTCTTGGGCTACTGGTGTCCAGTCTCATTCCCCCCATTCTGATCCCATCCCTAACCTGGCCCACACCTGCTCTAATTGTCTATGGCTCCCCCCATCAACCCCCCAGAGATGGAGCTCCTCTGCCTGGCTTCTGCCCACAGCCACCTCCTCATCGTCTTTTAGCCTTAGTTTCCCTGCTGGCAAAGTGGATTGACTGGCCTTCTGCTTGGGCACCTGCACACAGAATACTCCTGCATGCCTCCCTGGCCTTTGCTCACATTAAAATACCCTCCCCACACCTTCCTCTCCACCTTTGCCTGGCACCTCATCCTCCTCCAAGATCCAGCTCCAACGGTCCCTCCTCTGGAAATCCTTTCCTGACCACGCCAAATCAAAAAAGACACTCCTGCTGGGGATTTAGCTCAGTGGTTCCGCCGCTTGCCTTGCAAGTGCAAGGACCCGAGTTCAATCCCCAGTACCAAAAAAAAAAAAAAAAAAAAAGACACTCCTGTGTTCCCCGGCCCCTTCACACCCATGCCCATCAGTCATCAGTCTCTGCCTTCCTGCCAGGCTGGGGCTCCTGGAGGGCAGGGCCCAGGTCTGACTCATCTTGATCAGCACCCCAGCACCAGGCCTCATACACCAGAAGCCTCCCTCAGGAAATGCTTGCTTAAGTAATAGGTGGTGAGTGGATGAGTGAGTGGCTATAAAGGGGAATCAGTGAGTGAGGGCATTAATGAGAGGAGCAAGGGCTGAACGGATGGATAAGCGGGGCATGCAGAGGCAGACGAGAATCAGATTTAGGGCGGGAGAAGGGATGGATGGATGTCTCAGATCCTGCATCGCTGGTCTGTTTCTCCAGTAAAGCAAATTGGGTTCGCTCTGGCTGAGCTGCCCCCTCTGCTTCCCGTCTGAGCTATGTCCTGAATCTCAATACTGGTCATTCTGGAAAGAGCTTATCCGGCATGACCCGGAGAACCCGTTTCCTCGAGAGCCCGCTCAAGCCTCTTCCTAGTCAACCTGAACGCCAACCCGGCAGGTTCCCCATCTATAGGCAAACTGTCAGGGACTGTCGTCTCTAGGAACCAATCGCTGTCAGCCTTGGGCTGCGGGCCCCGCCCAGTCCGGAAAGCTCCCGGAATGGCCTGGAGAAGCGGGTGTCTATTGGCTGGATGACAATGACTGACGTGTTCAGTAGCTTATCGCAGCTGGACTCGGGAAAAGTACCTCGCCTGTCAGCGTCGCCTCTAAAGACGCTGAGGGGCTGGTGGCTGAGGTCAAGCGCAGAGTGGCAAGGGATTTCTGGTGGCAAATACCTAAACTGTTTGCTGGCCTTACCCTTGGGTCCTGAGGGAGGATGAGACTGGAGAGCCCAGATTCCTCGATCCTGAAGAGGCAGGGTTCTTAGGAAACAAGGTGGGGAGGGATGAGGGGAGAGGTCCCGACTTGTGGGCCTGGGAGAGGAGGGACTGGGAACCTGAAATATTGATGTCTTGGGACCGGAACGCCTGGATCCCGACAGTCATTGGCCTGCCCTCGGACGACAGGATTTTACGAGGCTATTTATGGGATTGGAGCCAAGCCTTGCCCCCAGGCAAGTGTTCTGAGTCCCGAGGTGAGGCGTGCAATAGCAGTGGAGAGGACAGAGAAGCTATGGCCTGTTCCGCATCCCTACCTGGGAGAACGGAGGCAGGGCGCTGTCTGCAAAAGGAAGCCAGAAGGGGAGGAGACTTGAGACTCACGTAGAGACTGAAGAAAACACAGATACCAATGGAGAGATAAAAATAATAAAACAACAATAATAATAGAGCTCCCCTGTACTGAATTTACTGTGGCCTGGGTTCTGTGCTAAGCATTTTACATAATTATTTCACGTCTTCCTCATCACAGTTCTAAGAGAACAGATTATTATTATTACCTTCCCTTTACAACTGAGAAAATTGAGGTCCAGTGCGAGAGAATAAGATATAGAGTTTTATTTTTTTAAGCCAGGCACAGTGGTACACACCTGTAATCCCAGCACTCTGGAGGCTGAGGCAGGAGAATCACAAATTCGAGCCTGGGCAACTTAGCAAGACCCCATCTCAAGATATTTTTTTAAAAGGCTGAAAATGTAGCTTGATGCATAGGCTCTGAATTCAATCCCCAGCACTGCCCAAGGATGGACACCAAACATAAAATAATAGAAATGACAACGAGATAAAGAGAGGTGCAGAGAGAAGACATGGCAGACCATGAATAAAAGGAAAGGGTCTGAAAAAAAAAAAAAAAGGAGAGGGTCTGAAAGCTGAGACTCCTGGGGAAGGGGGCACTGGGGACTCCTGGGTCCTGGGAAAAGGAAGGACCAAGGACAGAAGACTCCAAGTATTTTCTTTCCCTAAATCCATGATACCAGGCTTGTCCACCCTTTCTTGCTGTGGGTGTTAAGCCTAGTCGGGATCAAAAATAGTGATT